GAGATGGAGATCTGGGGTTTCTAGTGGGGCAACTTCAGCGGCAACTCCCGCGTCCAGGCGAAAATGTCAACGTGATCGTGGCATCTTGAAAAGGGCCGCCGCCTCGCATATATTGGCCATCCAATACCATCCCATCCCATCCATCCAATCTGGCCAAGAAGAAAAGGGCCTGGCGAAGGAGGAAAGAGACCCCGGAACGTGGCCACATTTTCGGCCTCTGTGTGCGCGTGATATCTGAACTACGAAATTGAGATCGATTCCCCAGTACGTGTCTGAAATGAGAATTCGCTATAGGAACCGAATGCCGAACGCCGAACCCCGTTGCCCCGTTGTAACGATAAATTATGATATTATTTGAAATTAATGTTAAGTAAAATGACATCAGTGGGCCCTCAGTTGGCCCAAGTGGCCCAGGCGTGCACTTGCTGACATGGGAGAGCTGAACAAAAAATGAAGATCTCGGCAACATATCAGCTGCATTCGTCACAATTAATATTCCAATCAGATGATGGAGGAACACATGTCCGCGAGTAGGCGATGTCTCGATGTCGATGTCCCATTGCATTGGTTGGGACACTCAACAAAAAACTGAATTACTATAAATATATTATTTTAGTAAAGAAGGAATTTTTTCTATGTTTAAAACTGTTATAAAATGTATAATAAGTTTGTTAATTTATAGGTAAAAATAATTTCCTTAAAATCTTTATTACTTACCAAACATTTAGTGCCAAAAAGAAAATCGGAAACAAATTCTTCCAGTGCTGTGGAAAGATTCGAACCTTGGGCGGCGGTGGCGCATGCGCAATGAGTGGAGGAAAAAACCGATCCAAATGGGTCGTATGGCGTATGGAGAATCGATGATCAGAGGATGCACTCTTCACTCGCGGATCGTGTCGCTGATTTGTTCGCTGTCATAATTCAATAAAGTAGTCAAATGTCAGTCGGACTTAAGCAAAAAGCGGCGGTCCGTCATCATCTGATATTTCCCCGATCTCCCATCTCCGAGCCCCCGATCCACCAGTTAGGATCAATAAGAAGCACCACACACGCACACAGCGCCGGGTTAATGGCCATAAACGCAAATCCGCTTAGCACTGCACCAGGATGAAGGATCGAGGAGCGAGGATCGGGAATCGAGGATCGAGGGAAACCAGAACCACTTGCAGTCCGGAATGAAATCGCATTGGCTGCTTATTAATTCATCACACGCTTCTGCTTTGCGCCGACATGCGATGGGAATAGCATCGGCATTGGGAATTACAAAGTGCTTTAAGGTATAGATTTCGAAATTTTTCAAGTATCATAAATAGGAAATAATGTGCAAATCAATTAAATTATCTGATTTTAAAGACAATCACAAGTTGAGTTGAAGGACAATTACCCCCCACCACTTGAGTAAAAAATGAAAGGAAATGTGGTATTCAAAAAGTAGGCTAAAAAATAATTTTTTAAAATTTAATTCGTTAAAATAATAACAATAACCAATAATAAAAATTAATAATAAATAATTGTTAAAAGGATATTTGTAAATCTATATTACTAAAATAATTACTATGTTACTAAACATATATTTATTACCATTGCATGATAACTAATCTTTACTGTATATAATATTTAATCTAGTCTTCCGTTGTCTTTGGTGCTAGCACCACAAGTTGCTTAGATCTAGATAGATGATCTTATAAACGGACTCTAGTGCGCTGGTCTCTTTTTTTCCCAGAATCGGTTGGCCCAACTCAGCTGGACAGCCTGAGATATATGTACAAGTACCGGCGGAATAAACGGATGCGATGATGGTCGGTGGAGGGACGAGGATGGGATGGGATCGGAATCGGATCGGGATGGTATAAGATCGGATGGGTATAGAGACAGGGGATCGGGGGACCAGGGGACCCAGAGAAACTAAGACAAAAGAGACGATGACGCGACGACGAAGGAGCAGAGCTGGCGGAGCAGCGAGAAGACAAACGTGGCGGCGACAACGGAGCAAGTGACAAACGTTTAGATGGATGGATCGTTCTTCATTTCGGGGGAACGAGAGCGGGAACGGCAACTTAACCGAACCGGACTTCAAGAACAGGCGGTCAGCGAAACCGAGGCAACCGAAAAAAAGCGACGATTGCACATAAATTATATTCAAATTTCTTCGAGATCTAAGAGATATATAAAATACGGGAAAAACACACACGGCACATGCACATGAATGGTCGGCGACCCCGAGACGATCCTGTGTCTCTCACAGAATTTCCAACCCAAGAACCTCGTTTTGTCCCTTTTTTTCTCTCTCTACTTATTTCGTTGAACAATTTATGCAGATATGCGCCCATCTAGATACGAGCTCGACTGCCACCTCCAACTATCGGTTTTTACGTGGAAACCCAGCGCGCCAAAAATCAACCAAGTGCCATAGCCCACGGAGCACCTGGCACCGTCCATCCAAACATCCAGTATAACATAGTATCCCATTCCCATTCCGATTCGATCTATACCATCCAATCCAATCGCATCCCATTCGTTGGGGGCTCCATTAAAATTCAGCTGACAGCTTCGATTCACATCCCCAACAAATTGGAATGGGCTGAATACTATTTAGATACGGCTAGATCTGCTCAAACTGCCACTGATTGATGTCAATAAGGCCGAACAAAAGACTTAACAGGCACGAGAAGATACAGTGGGTATTCGGTATAATATAAAGGCCATACAATTGGTCAAATAGGAAGTGAAAAATAGTTTGTGCTTTGATTAAGTATCATATGTGTATTCTTTTCAAAATATTTCGTGTTTTTATCTATCACTAATGTCTCTTGTGGAAAAAACTGTTTTTAGTTTACTGAAATAAATAGGGGTTTTTGTTGACATTGAATAAGATATTTTTAAGAGCTCTTAAACTTACTTATATTAAGATTATAAGTGTCTTGCAAAAGTTCAATGTATTTAAGTGGTATTTCTAGAACAAGATGTACCATATCTTGAGATACTTTCGTCACCATGGGATGCTTGACCCCCCTTCCATTTCCATTTCCTCTCGCAAAAAAAGTGTTGTTCGGTTTGTGTTCTGCCTCCACTCGAATTAGTGGCTGCGTCTGGGATTTGTCTAATTGGAGGAGGCGACGGGCGCTTTGATGTTGCCACATGTCCATCAAGTACACAACTTTTACATACTAAATACATATATGTATATGGTATATAAGATATATGTACAAGAGCCCCGGCACGGAGGAAGTTGCTCGCTTGGAACTGCGAGGGCTGTCAGAAATTGCCAACTGGCACATTAATCCATGCGACATATTTATGAGTGTAAATGTATCTGTGTAAATGTATCTGCGGCCGAGATGCGAGATATAAAGATATCGGGCGGCGAACATGGACGAGGGTTGCCCGTCGCTGCTCTTTGCTAAATGAGTGCACATTTCAGATAAATTATTGCACACAACTTGTACGCGATGGCAGGCCGAAATGTATTTAACAAATTAAATTTACACACAGATACACACACTGACATTGCCGTGGACTTCAAAGGGGGCGCCGCAGCGTGACGGCCACCAAAGGGGGCGGGGCCTCGGCAGACCAATGATATCGCGGCGCTCTCACAGATACACCGGCAGTCAACCCCATAGATACACCCATACGTATAGAAGTCACGGAGTGAGAGAGAGAGAGTATTTGTTTAACGTACAGGCAGAAAAAAAGTATTGACATTTAGTTAAATATTTTTAGGAAGTTATATCTATTTTTTATTTATTTATGTTCTGGCTCTGAGGCAATTACAAATGGCCTTCAACAAATATTTTAGCTAGAAAGTTATAAATAACATTGAAACACTTTAATAAAAATGTCTTATAATTATGTTTTATTAGTTAGGATACTAAATTACCAACTAGTAATTATTTCATTTACTCTGGTTTAATGGATATGAAATTACTATTATTATACCCTATTACTATAAGGCTATTCCCTAATATGTAAATATAATTTTTGAAATGTTTACATAATTTACAATAAAAAATCTTGAAAAATAGTAAATATATTTTTATGCAATAAAAATCAATTTTAAATCAGGTATCCGTTTTTAAAAATCCACACCAACAAGAAATATTATTCCAAAAATATATCTTGAATTTTTCTCCCAGTGCACCTGGCAGATACGACAGATACGCGGTGCTGTGGCGAGTATCTCATCGATTTTTTAAGCGTCGGAATGCGTGGCACGAGACAGAGACCCCTGTCACGTGACAGCCCCGACATGTATCTGTATCTCTGCCTCTGCATCTGTATCTGTGTATCCGAGGCCCTATGCATCGGAGTCCCATTCATGCCACCGAGATGGCGGATTCGTTAGATACGGCGATATATTGAGATACTCTCGTGCAGCTGGGCAAAACTGCACTTTCAGCGCTTTTTATCTGCCGAAGCTGTAAATATCCGCGAGATTTACAACGCCAGCTGCGAACTGCTGCGTCTGGAGTATCGGTATCAGTATCGTTTGGCGGACTCCGATTCGTACTCGGAATCGGCATCGGTTTGGGCATCGGACTGGCCATCGGCAGTATCGTCAGACTGGGGGTATCGCGTTTTGGCACAACGCATCATTCGGGCCGCGATTCGCCAATGCAGATACTGTATCTTCCGGCTGCAGCTACCAAGATACAAAGTGCAGAGCACAGAAATCCAGATATATACATACACCATACACCTCGCTTGTCGTGCTCCACTTGTGCCCATTGTTGCTCTGCTGTCACCGTAACTCACAATTGAATTGTTCCTTTGTTCTGTTTCGGATTCGGATTCGGTTTGGCTTTCTTGCTAAAGGAAAAAGACAGAAGAGAGACCCGCTCCCGAATTTCGCATAATTGGCTGGCAAAGGCAAAGCCAAAGCCGCTGGCTTTCAAGTTGGCCGCCCGAAAGCCAGAAAGCCAGACCAAGTGTCGCCGGTGAAAGATACAAAGATACAGATACATAGCCGCATAGATACAGGCACTTGGCACTCGGTGACTCGGAAATGCTTGTGCCGCCGGACATGATGGCCGCCCAGACGCGCATGGTCTATCAGATGAATCGCTTTTGCGCCGAGCGGGTGCAGGCCAGGATGTTCAGGACGGCCACCGCCATCCGGGAGATCTGCAAGATCGTCCAGGACATCCTCAAGGAGGTGGAGCTGCAGGAGCCGCGATTCATCTCCAGCCTCGTCGAGTGCAATGGCAGGTAAATTATCCTAAAAAATAATAAGTCAAGTTTTTATGTATTTAAAAATCATAATTAAAAACCTTAAAAAATTATCGATATTTTCGATATTTTGATAATATCGATGTTTTGAAGGAAAACCGCAAATTAAATATCAAGAAATAGCAAACTGTCGATATTTTTTCAAGCTCTACAACTAATACATTGTAATGCTCAACCAATCACATCGGTTTAGTGATCGAAACCACAGGGCCTTCAGCAAGTTAGCTGCGTAATTCCAGTGCCCGGATGACTGTCACCACTGCATCCACTTGAATCCTCTTCAAACTTCACTCCATTGGGATCATTACAACCAAAGCGCAGCGTCATTGTCAATTAACTGTCAAGTCATGCTCATCGGGGATTTGCCCCTTGAACGAGGTGCATTCGCCTCCTATTAGATTGGTTGGAACGAGAACCTCTATCAGTTCGATAAATGCAAATTTATAATATTAAAACAAATGTATTTAACGTCTTATTGGATGGGTTTATGCAAGAAATTAAATAGATAACATATTAGCTAGCCCTTTAACATTTTTATCAGTTTAATACTTATTTATAGATATGTATGTCTTCGACTGGCTTAATATGTAATATATAAAATATCGTCTAACCTACTAGACTAAGTTTGTATTTAAAAAAAAACTCTTATAAGATTGCTTGAGTTAGCTTATATCTAAAATATCTAAAATATATCTTTGAAAATATTTTAAAAGTATTTTTTAAAACTATTTTTATTTGCCATATCTCTGAAAATTTATTATATTTAGGTTGTTGTCTCGTCCGCAGGTTAAATTTAATGTAATGGGGATCTCATACATTTTCAAGGTTTAAACCCTACTTTAAAGTAAATATTTCTAGGTTTTAAGCACTCAGTTCCCATACATTTTCCAGGCTAAACACCATTTTAAATTTGATATGCAGATGAGGAAAAATTTTAAATTCTCATTTATTTAATATGTATAAGTATTTTATATTTTTACGTAGTTGAGTTAAAAAATTCTTAAAATTTAATTACAAATTTTAAATGATATAATAAATATATTTGTACCTACCACTTTACAGGTTCGAGGGTGTCGAGGTCATATCCCCGAATGAGTTCGAGATAGTGTTGTATCTGAACCAAATGGGCGTCTTCAACTTCGTGGACGACGGCACTCTGCCGGGATGTGCGGTCCTGAAGCTGAGCGATGGCCGGAAGAGGTCCATGTCCCTGTGGGTGGAGTTCATCACGGCCAGTGGCTACTTGTCCTCCCGGAAGATCCGTGCCCGCTTCCAGACGCTGGTGGCGCAGGCCTGCGACAAGAGTGTCTATCGCGACATGGTCAAGATGGTGGGCGACACCAGCGAGGTGAAGCTGCGGGTTCGGGAGCGCTACGTGGTCCAGATCACGCCCGCCTTCAAGTGCTCCGGCATCTGGCCGAGATCGGCGGCCCACTGGCCGGTCCCGCATCTCCCGTGGCCACATCCCAATATCGTGGCCGAGGTCAAGACGGAGGGATTCGACCTGCTGTCCAAGGAGAGCGTCATCATGCAGAACAAGAACAACAATGCCGCCAGCATGGAGGGCGATGCCTGGGTACTCAGCTTCTTTGAGGCCGAAAATCGCCTTCTACAAGGTAAAAACACTGTGGGATCAACCCACTACACTCACAGAAAAATTGCATATATTAGATCAGCGATATAAGGGATTATTTTGGGGACCCTTTAAGGTCTGTTTCAGAACTATACCTCACTAAGTAATTTTGTTCTTTAACTTTTGCAAACTTTGTACCATTTAAAGCGAGAGAATATTTAAGTACAGATCGATAAAGAAAGGTGAAAACCTATCCCGTAGTCCTTGCTTTTTTCCTAAAATTTTTTAGAGTGCTGTAGTTTTAATACAGACTTTATTTTTGGCCATTTCATATATTTAAATATTGGTTTTCAAAGATCCAATTTTTTAAAAGAGAAATATCTTTTTTTTAAGAAGAATCATTTTCTAAAAGATTTCTTAAAACTGCCAAAGGTGGCAAAAATATTCCAAGATTTTCTTTCCAGGAATTGTTATAACTTTTTGGATGTGTAATATCCCAAAAATGATACCAATTTGTTTATTTTAAATAAATGTTGACTGATTGTTTTTAAGACTGTAAATTAACTTAGCTTCTTTATGGCCTTGAGCTTAAAATTAAACAATCTAAAAAAATCCAAAGTTATCTGTTCGAATACAAACGATTTAATAATCCTTTCAGGCGGCTGTCGCCGGCGTTGTTTGAGCATGCTAAAGACGCTGAGGGACAGGCACATGGAGCTGCCGGGCAATCCCATCAGTGCGTACCACCTGAAGAACCTGCTGCTCTACGAGTGCGAGAAGCATCCGCGCGACTTCGAGTGGGACGAGAGCTGCATAGCGGACCGGATCAACGGGATCTTCCTGCAGCTGATATCCTGCCTGCAGTACCGCCGATGTCCTCACTATTTCCTGCCCGGACTGGACATGTTCAAGGGCAAGTCGCCCAGTGCTTTGGAGCAGGCTGCCAAGCAGGTGTGGCGATTGACCCGCGAGCTGCTCACAAATGCCAATGCCTTCGAAAAGTTGTAAGGGGTTGTGGGTGGAGGGTCAGAGGTCAGGGGTCAGGGGTCCCGAGTCACGATGGGTCGATATTTTAGATTTTACAGCACAAACTTTATGGGGACTTAAAGCTTAATCAAGAAAAGAAACCCTCTATATTAGTCCAATTTGTACAAAACTCATAGATTGATTGGCTATACAATTTATCACCTTTTCTTTCTTTTACTCAATAAATTGAAATTATTTTGTATTATGTATTTAAATATTTTGAAACTTCATTTACAATGAAAGTTGGTATACTTTTAAATATGATATTATAAAGATTAATATTATTTTTTTTTCGTTTTTATTTATCCCTTGTAAATTCAATTATTTTAAATTGTTAAACGACTAGAAGGAAACTTTTTCCAGTGTTTTCGCAGTCATCCAAATATCGACCCATCCAAAAGTGGGGTGCTAGGTCGGCCGGAGATGAAAGATATATATATATATATATATTGCTCCTTGACGGCCATTTTGTGCCATGTCCGTGTGCCTGTGTTTGTCTGAGTGAGCGCGGTGGTGTGCGTGTGTGTGTGGTGTGCGTGTGCAAAAGTGTTAATGCGGAGATGCGAGATAAGTCCACTCCCCATGCGACTCTACTCGACTCGACTCTTCTCTGCCCGATTTGCGATATATATCTGCCCATCCAGGCGTTCCGGCTAAGCCTCAAATATTGTTTTTAATAACTCGCCCCTCGACGCTCACGACGCATCCTTTGTTTGCCCGACGAACAATGGACTCGCCAGTTGCCAAGTCCCGGATGGAAAAATGGAAAAATCGAGGAAAAAAAAGAGCATTTGTCCAGGCGGCTCCTTTTACACACGGGGGCACTCAACGTATACGATTGTTTCACAGTTCGCAGATCCTAGATCAAAGCAAAACGAAACGCAAAAAAATAATGTAAAAAACAAAAAAAAACAGAGAGAGAGATTCCATTGATCGTTCCAAGTCCAACTTTATATTGTTTTTTTTTTGACTACTTATATATACACATATGTCGATGTCTATTATGCGATGCCTAACATTTACCACGATTATCCACAGTTTGTTTTAAGTACAACATAATCCTAGATTGCTTAAGTGAAAAAAGAAATGCTTGAATAAATTCAAGATTAGCCAAAGGCAACACTCCAGGCATTGTTTTATTTTCTAGAGGGGGAAATCTTTTAATATCTCTGTGATAACAAGAGTTACGGTTTTTAAAATTCTTAAGTTTTTTTAGCTTTTATAAAACCCAATCATTAAAATAAAAAAATGTTATTTTACTTGTATGTACTTGTATCTAGAACATTATTTTATTTTAATTTTTTTATTTTTTTTTATTTATGTATTTATATTTTTTATGTATTTTATTTATTTATTTATTATTTTACATTACTATTTAATATTATTTTAATATAGAGGGAGTTCGTTAATGAACGGATGTAATATTTTAGGACTCGCCGTGGAAGACACTTTAGAAGACAAACTCCGAATTCGAAAAAGGATGTCCTCGGATCTCATTAGTCCCCTCAGCGAGTGAGTTAATGTTATGATTATTGGCAGTGCCGAATATTTATTTGCAATCGGCGACGTATCTGGATCGGAATCCGAATACGAATCCAAATCGGAATAAGACTAAGGATCGCGATCTGAGGCTGAGGCTGGGAAGATGCAGCTGCTGCATCTTCAGCGACAACTGAGCATCACTTTTATTACCCTTATTTATGGTTATTTTCTGGGTTGGCGGGGGCTGAGGCCCAAAACCGAGTGGTTTGTCTGCTTTGTTCTGCGGTTCTTTTGTCTCTTCTCTTACCTTTTATTTATATTTATATTTGTTTGGTTTTTTTTTTTCCATTTTGGCGGAACGAAAACTTTCAGCGAATGTAATCGATATTTTCTTCGACGGCCAAGTCGACAAAAGGTGTCTCTAAATGGGGAGTACGGGGAGTGCGGAGTTTGGGAAATAATCAGCGTCAGCACAAGGATATAACAATAATGCGTTGGCCAAAATAACAAATTATGCCGAGGCACGCAGGGATCATGTTACGCGGCCCTCCATCACCAGCCACCAGTAACCCCTGTGAAAAACCCTCGAGTGGGTGGCTTTCCTTTGGTTCTTTCTATCCTGGGAAAAGCATCATCAGGTGACCGATCCGAATGGGAATCCTCTGCCCAGGATGCGCACTTGGCCGCCAGCGGAAGGCCACGTGGCAGCAGTTATTTCAGTGGGTGGGTGGTTCAAACAGAAGGATCTGAAAGCAGAACCATGTGCCAGTAGCCCCGCATCGATAAGGCACGAATCCCATTTCTCTGCTGACAAATGGTATTTGAAATGCTATTAAATGGGGGGCACCAGTCCTGAGTCTGAGTACCGGGATCCGTGACGCAACACCTGCCCATTCACATACCCGTAATACCAAGAATCATCCCGATACCAAAAGCAATACGAATACCTATAACAATCCTAAACCAAAAAAGCCTTTTCATTTGGTTGGGCTGTCACAACTTTGCCAAAGCCACAAAAAATATTGTCACCCTTCGCCATTCTACAAAAATACCCCTGGAATTTGGGTTATATTCGTTAGTCCTTGAAATAAAAAATTTCTATTTAGATTTTACTTTTATTTATGCCTCTTTTTGAAATATACATAAAAACTTTCGGAATATTACATTATACTTAATTTTTAAATGAAAAATAAAATCATATATCAGAAATCACACAATTTAAAAGGTTCTTGAGAACAAAATATCTTAAGATATGATGTTTATTAAAAAATGTATTAAGAAAACGGCTTAGGAAGGTAAAACGAAATGTTATAAGTCACTTTTATATTCAAACACAGATCTTATTAATTAGTTTTAATTTGCAGGATATCATAGATTCTACTCTCGATGTTGAGATTTTATTGTTTGAAATTTGTTTGCGTTTTTCTTGTTGACATTTATGCGCCCCCTCCTTCCTCCTTTCCATCCAGCCACGCCCCCAGGCGATTCGTGGGCGGTGACAGGAGGCTTGTGATGGCGTCACATTGTCCTGGTTTTCAGTCCTTTTGCTGGCGGCTTCTGTTTTTGGTTTTCTGGCTCTTCGAATGGCATTTCTTTGTTTTAATTGTTCACTAATGATATTTAAATTAGTGCTCTAAATGACCGCGGGCGGTTTTCAGTTTTCTGCCATCGCTCCTTTTCCCTCCCCCATTGTTCATTATCCTTTTCGCCCTTTGTTTTTGTTTATTGTTTGCCGTTTGCATTTTGACATTTCTTGTGCTTAGATCTTTCGGGGTTTCGAGGGTTGACAAACTAGTGACGGTTAAGTAAAGGGAAAACTGCCGAATAGGGTTAAATATTTTTTAAAATATTTTATTTTATTTTTTATTTATTTTTAATTATTATACTATATTGTATACTTAATTATTTTATCAGGGTAAGTTAAGGGAAAGCTGCCGGAAAAGGTTAAATATTTTATAAAATATTTAAAATCACTCAATATCTGATTATATTGTTTATTATCATTTAAATTAGATAAATTAAATAACAAATCTAAATACTCATTGAAACCATTTTTAAAGACTTTTTGTCAAATTTTAATTTTTAATTAATTTTAATATTTATCTATAAAGCCACCTCTATTTATAAATACCAGAATTCAGTGTTCTTAAAATAATGGTATATTTAATAAAAAAAACATAATAAAATATATTATTTCGAAGAATTTTAATTTTAATCTGTTGTAAATAGTCACTAAAGTCATTAAATATTTATTTAATCGCTTCACCATCAGAGGCTCTGACTATTTATAATTTCCTCTCATCTTCTTCAGCTTTTGGCGTAATTATGTCGTCATTATCAAAAACACGTGGTGCAATTTACCAAGCTGACAGAATCCTGCGGAGCTGGGAAATGGATTGTTCCAGCGAGAAGTGGAAAACTCGGCGCACACGCCACGAATTATGAATATCAGAAAAATGCAGAAGATGAATGGCACAGGAAAATGCCAGCGGGATGGGAGTGGGAAATTAGTTTTCCACGCATCGCCAGCAAAGACAATGGAGCGCAGGAAGGGCATGAAAAATCACGGAGAAAATCGGGGGGAAAGCGGCGGCACCTACATGTGATAATTTAGAGCAGATTGTCGCCTCCCATATACAATATATAGCGTATAGAAAATATACATTCACGATATATCCGAGGGGAACACTTTAGAGGGCATCATCGTATTTTTGGATGGACATTTGCATTCAATTACGGCAGCTGTGAGCCGGCCCTGATTTATATTTATGCACGCGTCTCTGACGGCCCATAAAGGAAACCCCAAAATGCGCCACACAGCGGGGGGAGAACTCAGGGGGATTTTCCCTTTTCCCCCTTTTTTCCCAGCTCTCTAAAAAAAAAAGTAAAAAAAGAGTTGGCGCTGCCTGCGCTCAATCATAATTATGTGATTTGTTTGCGACGCCAGAGCGGCCGACTAATTAAACGGCGAAATGACAGAGTGGGTGGGTGGATCTATATAGTCTATATGGCCTACAGGGAAGGGGTGAAATCCGATGGAGAATCCTAAGAGGGGATGTTGACGTATTGTCGCTGATGTTGCCCCGCTGAAATTATGACATTTTGATTTGAGCTCGAGGCCCATTTGAAATCCCTCAGGCGGCGCACTCGTCTGATTTATGCCACAAGTTGGGGGAACAGGAAAACAAATACCGAAAGGAGTAGGCAAAACTTAGGGAAGGTGGACTAATTAAGAGGCGGATGGCTAACGGATTGCAGCTGCACTTCAGAGCCAAAAAGGGGAGGCACTTGGCCATTTGCTTCCCGTAATTCCCGCGACATTCGGGACATTCGGTGGCCGAGATCGAAGGGTTATCCCAAATCGATTAACATTATTAATGAATGCATATCATGGGAATAAGTGGGCACGCAGCGGTGAAAAGAAGGGAAAGGGGCGGGGGATACAGGTGGAGCAACGAAAGTCAAAACATGAAAAGGTTTTCAAACAATTTCGATTCCCAGAAACGAATGAAATGAACTCCAGCGAAACATTGTCAACATGATCATCAACTGTCTCCCTCTCTCTCTCTTTCGATCTCTCTCTGTCTCTGTCAACATATTTATGGGCCTGGTTCATTTTGAGGTTGAGACTTAAACCGAGATACATTGAGAAAAATTGGTTTTGGGCGTTAATTTTACTTACAACTTAATTTAACAAACTTGATAATAGCCTTTGAAATATAGGTATTTTTATAATAATTACAAAATCCTAAATAAAATGGTCTAAGTTTTATTTGAATAATATTTGAAAAACCGTTGAAATGTAGGTATTTTTATAATATATAAAAAATCGTAAGTGGTATTTAATATTTAATATTTTTAGGTCCTTTTAAAATATAGGTATTTTTATAATAAATACAAAATCCTAAGTGGTATAGGTATTTTTTATATAACATTTTAAGTAACCGTTGAAATTTAGATATTTGTACGATACTTACAAAATCCTTAGTGGTTTTATTATTAATTATTAAATTTCGTTTGTTTCTATTTAAAATGTACTAATGTAATTTAACTAAAACACTTACCAATATTCAAGTTTAACAATCTCTATCTAATAATTTTTCACTTCAGAGCAACCTTTAATTTTTTAACCAACTGATATATGGACAATAATCCATTTTTAATGTGACAAAAGCATCACATTTATTTCTGTGTACCGTCTGATGCTTTGGGGTTGCCCGGAGAGCATTGGAATGTCCAAATGTTCGATCATAAAACAAAGACCCAGCCGCAGAAACAGAAACTTTAACTGAAACTGAAACAGAGACACAAACAAAAACAGAAACCAAAATCCAAACCGAAATCGAGACGGCAGCGAACGAGGCTGAAAACGAGTCGAATCAATGCAGATAATATCAATTATATGTAAAAGATACACATGCATGCGATAGATACATTTGCCCCGATAAGCATTTAAAATATTAACATCAACAGTCGACTGGGGATCCATATCCATATCCACAGCCACATCCATGTCATGGAATGTCCCCCGTCTCCAGGGTTTCGTGTTTGTGTTTATAATTCATTAGAATCCACAGCTGATTTGAGTTATAGTCAGCCAGATCCAAATCTGGGGGACTGGTTGTGTTGTCTTCAACCTTTTTATCACAATTATCTAACTTCAAGTTCAGGAAATCGAAATTTCTGTTAAATAAGCGGTTCTCATATAAATAAAGAAGGTTATTCTGGTCCAAATCCTACAACTATTTTCCACAATAAAAATCTGTTTTTTAATTATGGCTAAATAATGTCCAAGTCCGAAATATCATACCTTGTTGATACGTCGCAATTTAATTTCCGACTGATTGCCCTTTAAACCTAGAACTTTTTATATTTTCCTTGAAATTAAAAAAAAAACATTAGTCTAAATCAGCCGGAAAATTACGATTTCTTCAATTTGGGACAATTTTATACAGATAAAAAGTTTTGCGAAAAAAATAACATTTTAACCAAAAAGTTCATTATTTTCCAAAACAATAGAAATAATGAAAGTCAATAACTTTTTTATTAAAAACCGACTGGTTATCCCAAAAAAGTGCATACATATATCTAATGGAAGTTACCTCTAAAAATTAGGTTGGCCATCCAACTTTTCTCCAATCAAAACCTATAAAAGTAATTATGCAAAAATGGGTTGCCATAAATAAAGTCATGGTTTTCTTTAAATATTCATTTTTATTTACATTAAATTATGCTACATAAATGTACTATGGACTACAAGTACATTTAATATACTCAAACAAAAAAATGAAAAAAAAAAATAGTTTATAAAATAAATAACGGTTTGATGATTGTTTCGTTTTGCGAACTACTTATTAAAATACTATAATAAAATACAAACTGTTCTCACTCGGCCAGTTGCTATACAACTCAAAGCGGGAACACTTTTCCATCTTGCTCAGCTTGCTCTGGTATGGTTGTGAACACAACTAAGCGGTGGCGCGAACCGGCACTGCTTTCTTTGACTTTCTACATAAAGCAGTTCTGCACTTAATTATTAAATAATTAGCTAATTAATTATAAGGCATGAGTACAACTTATAAACAAGAGAGAACGCTATAGTCGGGTGCCCCGACTATCAGATACCCGTTACTCAGCTAAAGGGAGTGCGAAAGAGATGGAGAAAAACTTTGATCCGCCGTAACTTTTTAACGAATGGTCCGATTTAAAAAATTTCTTCTACATTTCGATAGGTATTGATAAACACAATAAAACTGCATTTTTACTTTTCCAAAATATTGAAATTTTTAAAATCGTAGCACCCTTTTGAAACAAACTTGCGCTGCGTAGGAACTCCTAGAATCCGCATGCAAAATGTCAATCTTCTAGCTTTTATAGTTTCCGAGATCTCAGCGTTCATACAGACAGACAGACAGACAGACAGACAGACAGACAGACAGACAGACAGACAGACGGACAGACAGACGGACAGACGGACATGGCTAGATCGACTCTGCTAGTGATCCCGATCAAGAATATATATAGTTTATAGGGTCGGAAACGCTTCCTTCTACCTGTTACATACTTTTGCACGAATCTAATATACCCTTTTACTCTACGAGTAACGGGTATAACAATTAGCTAATTACAAAAATCATAAAGTTTACAGGCAATTCAAAATTCAGTAGATAATTAGTTAATTAAATTAATCGATTAAGGTGATAGCGCAAATTACCAGATAGTTTTTCAAATAGGGTTTATAAAGTATTACCCTCTATGAAAATCTAGGTGGTTAATTCATGGGTTTTTAAATCAATAAACATCGGATTGTATTTAAAACAGAATTCTTATGAAATTTGAAGATCAAGATCGAATTGGAATTTTAGAATAGCATTTTGCATACAATTCGATGTCGGATAGTCAATTAACCAATAAGCTACTAAAGTTGATGGGTTCCTAACTAAACCGATTTCGTTATCTAATCCTTGCAATAGCTGGAGCGCAGGACATTTTCGGCGCCCGCGAGAATGGAACCCTCGTGTTGGGGACACAATTTCAGGTAGAGCTCACTGGACTCCATGGCCTCGATGAGGATGTACTCCAAGTAGATTCGTGGCGCCGAGAGGATGCGCCAGGTGAGTGGATTCAGTATGTTGGTCGGGTACTCCCAATTGACGGTCGCATATTCCGGCTCCCGGAGATTCCGTCCGGCCACCAGGGCTTTGTACTCGTAGCCCGGCTCAAAGTACATGGCCTTCGGGGAGAACTTCATCATCTCCGTGGCGGCTCGCTCCTTTTTGCCTCCGCTCGCCTTCAGCAGGGCGTCGTGCAGCTGGATGGACAGGATGCCCACCTCGCCGCCATGCAGGGTGCTCTCGTCGTGGCCCGAAACCCGCACCGTGATCCTGTAGTGCAGCCGGCAGAAGGGCTTGCTGTCGCCCGTCCACAGGTAGAAGACGCCCGGCGAGTCGCCCTGCTGCAGCTGGCCGAGATCCACCTGCTCCTGGTAGTCCTCCTGGCTGTGGTAGCCCATGCGCAGGCACGTGTGGCCCGGCTCCTCGCAGCTGGTGCACTTCGTGTCCTTGAAGCTCTGCGAAAAGGGGAAATAAAACAAAATTAGAAATTAATACATATGGATTTGAACTTCAGACCTCAGAAAATATATGCACTATACATTTTTATTAGACTAAAAAAGATGAAAAATAATATAACGCGAATTCTTAAGCTCTGAATAATTGGAAGGAATTTATATGAACTTTTGGTTAAGGCTTGAAGCAAAGAAACATATTTTCAAACAATTGATTTAGATAGAAAATATATGATAACGCGAATTCTTCAGCATTAAATAACTTTATAGCATTTTGATGGAAATAATAATAATAATAATCATTTTAAAGTAGAAAATATATGATAACGCGAATTCTTCAGCACTAAATAACTATATAGCATTTTGATAGAAATAATAATAATAATAATCATTTTAAAGTAGCAAAATATCAATAGGCGGATTCTATAGCTTTAAATAATTGTAAGGAATTTAAAGAAAATTTTTTCATACTAAAATTTCAGTAGTGCAGTTAATCATAAGGTTGATAAAGTAGAAAAAATATCATAGCGCGAATTCTTCAGCATTAAATAAGTTAACAGAATTTCGATCGAAATAAAGCTATAAGGCGCTTTTGCAGAATATAGACTTTCTTTAAAATAGTAAAATATTAATAATTTTAAGGAATAAAAATGAACATTTCTGTATTCATAAGGTTGTTTAAGTAGAAATTCTTTGATACCGCGAATTCTTCAGCATTAAATAAGTTTTTAATCCGAATTTAGTTATATGACAGTTTAATCGATTTAAAGTTACTCACCTCGAAGGAATCACAGGTTATTCCGAGGAAGGGGCACTGCGAGCCGATGCTCTCGGTGAAATACTGCTGGCTGCGGATGTGGTTGCAGCCGAGGAACTCCTGCATGGTGAGGAAGAGCGTCTTCTTCTTGACGACGTCCTGGAACTTCTTGTTGCAGCCGGGATTATCGAAGCCGCCGTTGGGAAAGAAGTCGACGTGGCCGAGCCGCATGTTGATGCCCAGGCCGCCCTTCATCAGGGGATTGGCGTCGGTGTGCACGATGTCCACGAAGTGGGCGTCCGTCTTGTCCAGCCGCACGATGGGATCGGTGTCGGTGAAGAGGGGAGCGGCAGGATCTAGACCCGTGATCCTGGCTGGCTTCAGCCCAAAGTCATGCTGCAGATGATAGCCCGCATAGCCGGAGAGATGGGCGCCCAGCGAGTGGCCGATGATGTGGACATTGTCCAGATTGGGCAGCCGCAGCTCCTCGTACAGCATGTGCACCACATGGGCGGTGATGGCGCCCACCAGCCGGATATTGGCCACTGCCTGGACATATGGCGGACTGGCGCCGCCACCCCAATCAATTAAAACGACGGCTGCCCGACCCTCCGGCTCGTGGGCCAGCAGAGCCTTGGCCATGTCCCACATCCAGGGAATCTCCCCCGACTCCAGGTAGCCGTGGACGAGCAGGAAGATCTTGCCCCTGGCATCGATGCCCATGCTTTGCACGCTGTCCGGATCGTTGAGATCGAGGTACTTCGGCTGATCCAGCTCCTTGCGCAGATGGAGCGTGAAATGGGGCTCGATCTCCGATGGCTTCTGGGGATGCACATTTATCGAACGCGTCACCGTGTTCCACGGTCCATTGATGGGAAAGCAGCCGTAGACCCCGAAGCACTTCACCTCGTTGATATCTGTATAGAGGGGATTAAGGCAATCGGTTAGAGTGGGTTATTAATCAGGTATTTGGTGTACAAATCAGCGTGGCGAACACCTGAATCCAGAGATAAGCTAGTTTTATGGGTAAATCGATCAAGTTGAAAACTTGGAAATAATCTAAGAACTATGAAACTATTATGAATTCTAAAAGCTCTATTTTGCAAGATCTCAATTGGAACCCAGCGATCCGTGAAAACCTTTTGGGCCCTTAAGTATTCCAGCCAGCCGTGATGATCGGCGGTCGGAAATCGATATTTAAGCCCAAGACTCCCATTCATTTGGCCACTGGTGCATGGATGATCGTCTCTTTTATCGTGGTCTTCTTTGGCTTTCCGTTTGTATCGGAAGTTTTCGATTAGATAGACCACTCTACCAAATATATATATATATATATGTGTATGGGTACGATATTTGATATTTATACCGGACGGGAAACGTCATTAGCCTCTGGGGACCCTGATTTCCAAACCAAATCGAAGCACGCTGAGTTGCCACCTGTGTTCGCATCGTGAAACACCTGATCGCAGGTGATTGAGAACGCCGCGGGTTTTCGTTGGAAGAGCTTTCCCCACTCATCATCTTTCCCCCAGCATCTTGGACTCGGGCTGTTTAACCAGCCCAAAGACCCAAAAACTGTTTGTTCGACATACACAGCCAACGAGAAACCACTTAAGGCGAAGGAAATACCAAATTGCTGGTCTAAAAACAGCTGCGTTCAAAATAATAGCTCTAATGACTGTGTTTTGTAACCCACTGTAGGCCTAATTCGAGTTTTATGGTCGTATGGTCGTAAGAAAAATATTTAGCAATATTAGGGTCTATAAAAATCTGGAATTTAAGGTTTGCTGTTTTTACTATGGAAGCTTTAATTAAATAAAATATTTTTAAGCCTCAGATGTATCATTAAAAAATAGAGAAATATATTTATAATTAATTTTTAATAAACACAGATATGAATATTGGGCCATAAAATAAAATATTTTCTCTACAAAAGTCAGGAATTTTAAGGTTTCGCAAGGTTACTCTTTAGATATATTAAAAACAATATATATAGGTATATACCTCTATTTATTTTTTATCAATATATATTTTTATTTATTTATTTTTATTTTATTTATTTATATATCAATATATCTTCAAATTTACAAAGGGCTTTTCTATTTAACTTGTGAAAGGATTAAACTAAAATTTTAAAAATCCCCCTTATAATCTTATATTTCCACCGCCACTGTGGCCCGGATCAAAGATACTTCTGGGCCACTTTCGGTGGACATGTTCTAGTTACGCTGCTGGATGGTGCAACATTTCGAATGCTGCCCAAAAGTGGACCCTGTGGTTCGGATTACTTACCGCTTTTGGGGGCTGGTGGCAGGTCGACCAAAGTGTTGACGGCCGCCCGACTGGTGTGATTGGCCAGGTACAACATGGTCTGCAGCATCAGGCCGCCGGTGGTGTTGGCCACGTACATCTTCTCTTGGCCCGGAGGATCCCTCGAGGATCCGAACTCAGGATATGGACAATTCCCCTGGGGTAAATCACACACTTTTCAGTTCTCGAACCGAAGCACAATCACAGATTACAAATCACTTGGACGAGCACCACTCGAGTTGGCTGAGTTCTATGGTATTATCTAAGGCTAGGACTATATAGACGAGTTACGATCGATCGATCGATCGTTTGTTTGGTGCCTGGCTTTTCGTTAGTTTTAATTAAGTTGGCGTTAATCTTATCGACTGTCTTTCTGCCGACTGTCTCGAGTGTGCCGTTAGTTGGCCCTCGGCTGGCTTTGCTTTCGACTTTGACTATCGCCGATGACTGGGCTATATGGGCGGCTATAGCTATATCTCCGCCGATCTGAATCGCTTGGGAACCGTCGCAGCACTGAGCGGATCAGCTGCGCCCCACGCAATTTTTATGCCCACCGCCCAGACGAAGACGACGCGAGAAATCAAAAGCGAAATCGAAGCTAAAAAACGAGCCGGAAAGCTGCATCCGAAGCTGCAGCCGAAGCCGCCGGCCGATGACGCTAAGCCGATAGTGCTGACCGATCCGCCGATTTCCCGACCAAACGACACTCTTCCAAAGGGCAGGTATAATAAACTGTGGGAAAATTTGGAACACACCAAAATGACTCATGGAAATTAATTAAATAACTCTCTAAAAACAGAATAAATAGGATATTTTTACTATTTTATCACTATATTTACTTTTCTATATTAAAGATCATATTATGCAAAAAAGATCATAGATATATTAAATTCAGAGACTTTACATTTTATTTCGGATAAAAATTTAAGAATAATTTTTTTAGATTAACAAAGATTTAGAATATCATAAATATATACAGATCATACATATGTACACAAAGAAAAAAACGGAACAATATGGAACTGATTTTGTTTTATATCAATTTTTCCATAACAAAATGGTATGTTTTCATATCAATATGGTACAAAATCATATGTTCGGAAATATCAAAATTTATATGAAAAAATACCCGATGGATGACTATTTTTGGTATTTTTTTTCTCTGTGTAGTATATTACATTGCATTATGCACAAAAGATCATAATATTTGGAGTTTAGTGACTTTAAATTTTATTTCCGCTTAATAATGGATGAATCACTTTTGTAGATTAAAAAATATTTAGAATATCATAAATATATAGATTATAAATATTTAATACCTACATTTTAGTTGGGAGTTTTTACGATGGATTTTCGCTATTACGCCATCACTGATCAGTAAGCTTCGGCACGCGACTTCCAGCCGAGCAGAGAGTGCGGAATGAAGAGAGGGGAAGGCCCTGAGAGCTGCTGATAATGCAAAAGCCTCGCGTTTCGCTCAGTGTAGATGCAAAGTACACACCAGCTGGCGGGGTTGCTCTTTGTTGGATGCACCTTCTTGATAAGACCGAAGCGAGCGCACAACAAAGTGACCGCCATGGAGGCGTTGGGCAATCTGCTCGAAAAGGGGGCGTCGGAAAGGAGGATCCATGTGGGGTCACAAATAGAGGATGAGACCCGCCTTGAGCTATCAACAAACCCATTCTGCACAGAGAGAAATACTAACCATAAGCCATTCAACTTGTATAATACAATTTGTTTTTAACGGATAAAATAAACTATCGGAACTATTAAGTGTACTTATTAAATATTAATACTAAAGTAAATTAATAAATTTAACAAATTCTTTATCCTTGCAGAATATATGTATTTCTTAACATATTTTTTATAAATTTATTAACAGTTCCATATTCCATACGAAATGCATTATTTTCTTTGCTTTTTAGGCATAAATTTTAGCTTTTAACCTTTTTCTTCCTGTGATTCCTTTTATTATAATATAATAATATTTAGTCAAGCCACAATAATACTTATAAAGATGTTTTGCAAACTGTGCCTTTCTGTAATAAAGATACATAATCTAGTTTCCGACTTATATAGTCCATTAGTGACCTAATGGTGAGTGACTTTCCTTAGGAAACTGTGTCAATCGACGGGCCCCTTCGACGTCCCTGCCCCTCAGACCGCCGCCCCTGACAGGTGGTGTCAATGTCTGGTGGGTACTACACTTTATATTTTATATGACATTCCCATTGGCACTCGTTATCAGTTGGAAGCGATTCTCGCAGAATCCCGTCCCGTTTCTTCTTGTTCGTTTCGTTTCGCTTTCGAGGCGTCCAAAGTCCGGAGAAGGTGTTTACGGGTTTTCGATCACTCGACATTCCACCAGGATCTCGAATATTGCCCATTGACGTCAAGAGAGGCGGCCTTTCAAAAGCGTTATCAAATCTTAAAGTCTGTCTTCTGTCTTCTGTCTTCTATAGTCTTGTTTTTGTTTACGACTTTCTTCTTCGTCTGCTGCAGGCATCCCCTTTCTCGAGAACCCCACAGAATAACCTTTTAAAGAAAATTCACATTTCTAGGATAAATCTAGTAAGTTATATTAATAGAATCTATTATTAAATAATGGTGACTCATTATATAGTATTACTTCCGTGTCGAGTCAGCAGCGGATGCCTCCGATCAGCGATAAGGATCGAACTTTGATTCTGAAAATCGATTCCGGTTCAAAAATCCACTTGCATTGCAAATCAACTGAGGTGTTGTTTTTTTTGCTATTTTCCTTTTGACAGGGTCCAACGTCATCGTAGGGCCCCTGCCACGCCCACTTGTCACCAGCAAGTGTAAAAATACAAATATTTTGTTTACAACGGGCATTACGAGGAGCATATATAATAGATTATAGGGAAAATAGCAACTTAAAACTGGAATACACAATCCAGAACACTGAATATATTCAATATTGAATAACGATCGCTGCAATCGCTCTCCATGACATAAGCCCCCAAGGGGATTATTGTTTACATAGATCAGTGGCAGATCGGAGGACCATCGTTCAACAGGGTACAAAGTGTAAAGTACGCGAAAAATGTAACGGGGGGTCTTGAACTGAAGAGCCACAGGTATTACGAATGGATTTTAGATTATACCGAAATTCAGCTACAAACTTGTAAGTTCCGGTTTTCGAAAACACTTTTAACATTTAAATAATACTAAAATGAAAGTACTTTATTTTATATTGGGGCTACTATACCAAAGCCTTATTCTAATCTCATTGTTTTGGCACTCATTCCTTAGTGAATCTAGGTCACAAGACCAACGATTATACCCTTGAAATACCTAATCTTGAACAGCAATGAAATTACTCATAGTTCTTGATTGTTTAGTTTGAAACAAACTGTCGGTATGATTATTTATTTGCTAGGAAACAAATTTAGCGTAGAATTAATGTAAAATTATGGCAGATTTATATTAAATAGAGGACATTTTTTGGTTATGGCAGACTGTTGTTTAGAGAGCTTATTGTCCTTGAAGGTTGGTGTTTATCTTTCTGTTTCGTGGATTACGTTTCGTTCGGTAAGGAGTACAGCATACAGAATACAGAATACGGAGGGGATATCGTATATAATATTATGGGCTAGCAATGGCACTTAGGATTAGCTTAGCGTACAACTAGTTTAACATAAGGATCGCGCACACTGAGGATCACTCTGTGCGCTGCATGATCATCTCGATTTTATCGCCGGCGGCGGCGATCAGCGGAACAGTAAGGCAGCAATCAAAGTCCTGCGTCTTCATTTCGTTAACCTTGAAAGGAATTAAAAATATTAATAATAATTTTAATATTTTAAAGGTCCGGAGCTCACCTGCATAATGCGATCGAAGGGCTTCAGGAGACCGCACATATCCGCCGGCCCGCCACTGCGAATCCTGTTGATGAAGACGCCCCGCTCGTAGAGTCCATCGGAAACCGAGAAGCCATAGTCGTCGTACACCTTGTCCTTGTACAGGGTGACATGGAAGACGCGGGGCTTTCCATTTCCGCCATTGCCATTACTGCCAGCTCCACATCCGTTGCTATTTCCATTCCCCGACTCCTTGCTGGCCTCCGTATTCGCCGAAGGACTCCGCGGACGCCGCTGGACCTTCGCGTAAATGGCCTGCGTCTGCGGCAGATGACTGCCGTTGGCCAGATCGTGACTCCGCAGGATCTTCAGGTCCACCAGATCGCCGAGATTCTGCAGCAGACTGGTGGCATGCGAAAGGGGCATGCCCTGCACCGAGTGCTCGTCGATGGCCAGCAGCTGGTCACTCACATGGATCTGGCCATTCTTGTGCGCAATGCCACCTGTTTATAGGGATATGGATTATTATAAGATTTATTTGAACTATATTCTTGGGAAAACTCACCCTCCACGAGACCACTGATCGTGATGGGCTTGGTGATATCCTCGCTGCCAGCCAGAGTGATGCCCAGCAGTCCCCCCTTGGGCTCCAGACGCACCGTGAAGATGATCTGGTGCAGGCTGCTCCCGCTGCTCTTGCTGCTCGAACTGGCCGCCGATCCGTAGACCTTGTTCTCCATGGGCGGCGGCAGGGCGGTGCAGTCCACACTGGGGGTGAAGAAAGATATTTTTATAATTAATTAGGACTTTGGAACTTTAAGAAGCACATTGAATTTTATTGAGAGATTAATTAATATTTGTATTAAGTTTTTGTTTTTTTATTCAATTCAATTTTTAACATTTAAAAATACCTGACTAAAATGTGTGTGTTCTTTAAAAAAAATTTACAAAAGTCAATAAATTACAAATAAATTGCATTGGAAATAATATTTTTTAAGTGCTGAAAAACGCACATTATTTGTCAAATAATATGAAAGTTTTAAACACAATTTATATTAATTTAAGTTTATTTTAATATAAAATAATCAAATTAGATAAACAAAATTGAAAAATCGAGTTATTCCTTTTTAAACATTTTACAATTACTCAATAAATATAAGCTAAACAAATTATATAAAAATAAAAATGAAGAAATTGGTTTAGTAAACTTTCCTTTTTTATATGGTTAAAAAGTAAATTGATTAATTGGAAATAATATTTTGAAGGTACTCAAAAACCTTTCACTAGTTATCAAATAATTTTAAAGTTCTAAGCTGAATTTATGTAATATTTAAAATAAGTTCAAAAAGTCTAGTTGTTTCCTTTTAAGCTTTAAATTTTCTCTATAGATAAACTTAGCCTCACCTGGCATAGCGATTGAGCTCGTAGCCGGGATACAGCTGCTCCTGTTCGTCCTCCTCCTCGGGCAGCTCGGTGGTCAGGCTCTGGGTGTTGGGCAGTTGGTTGCTGGCTGCCCCAAAGGATCGGCTGTTGACGCCGGCGGTGGACCAGCCGTTGCCTGCCTCGTTGACCCCTCGACTGCCGCCATTCCCCGAGCACCCCGATCCGGAACGCAGCTGCACCGACTGCAGACTGGCGTCGTCCATGCTGGGCACCCGGAAGTAGTCCGGCTGCGGAGTCCGCGACTTCAGGGAGACGCAGTCGGCGTACTTGCCCGCCGTCACATAGGCGCTGCTATACAGATCGTGATCCGTGCTGCTGGACGAGACACCCATGCCGCCCATTCCCATGGCCATCGGTGGGCAATTGCTGTAGATGGGACTGGACATGGGCAGGAAGTCGGGCAGGACGATCCGCTTGATGGTGAGCGTGGTGAAATCCGAGGAGGCGGAGGACGCGGAGGATGAGGGATTCTGCTGCTCCTTGAGCAGTGCGTCCACATTGAAATGCTGCACTGGATGCTGGTCGACGGCCAGCAGGATGTCGCCCGATCTCAAAGAGCCGCTGCGATGCGCCGGACTGCCCATCTTGACGTCCGAAATGACCAGGCCGCCATGGCTGGAGCCACTCACACTCAGTCCCAATCCACATTTGCCGGCCCTCAGCAGCTTGACACTAAAGACACCACTGGCAGGCACCACGGCATCCGGCATATCGAACTCGATCTCCAGCTCCAGCCAATTGGCCGGCGGCGTTCCCGAGTTGTTTCCTGCTCCTCCGCGACCCGATCCTCCCTCGAGCAGCTGCCTCATGGCCCCCGCATCCAGGCTGTACATCTTGTTGATGGCCACAATGCGATCGCCCGCCTGAATGCAGCCACTGCGATCGGCCACCGAATCGTTGAGGATCTGGGCAATGGCCACAGCTCCTCCGCCGGCAGATCCTCCTCCTGCTCCTCCTCCTGCTGGAGATTCCCCCAGGATAATGCCCGCTCCGTGGCTGCAGTCGAGGAGAACGGGAAAGCTCTCGGCGCGGCAGAGGCCCAGACCCACCATGCCCACCGAGGATCCCGGAGTGTTGACCCCTGCATTCTCCAGCGGCAGGGAACTCTTGCGGGCGAAACGCTGACGCTGGCGACCCGCCGTCGAGGATTTGCGGGACTCCAGGGTGCTAAAGCTGTACTTGGGACTGCCCAATGCCGTGTGTCCTGGGGGATAGAAAAGGGAATACGAATTAGATGGCTTCTAAAGATCCCCCTTCTCTTAAATGAGAAATGGGAGTGGTGCCTCCTCATTCCAACACCTCCATTTCCACATTTCAGCTAAGTAGCTTCCATTCCCCCTTCCATTTCCACTGGATATCTAGTACATTCAATCACACCTCCCCCCATTGCCAACTTATGGAAGCTTTTAAGACCTTTGCCGAGGAGACTGGAGTTCTGTGATCCGCAGCTTATCCAAGCCAGCTGCGTGTCCTCTGCCCAGACCACTATTTATGACCTCCACTCTCCTCTATTATTTTCTATTCCATTTTGGTATTTCCGATTTGGTTCCGATCGATTGTCAAAAAACGAATGCCAAGTCTTTCGTCGTTCGTCTTTCGATTTGTTGGGGAGAACACACGACTCTGCGTGTTTGCTTAGCAAATGGAGGGAAAAACTTGGAAAAACAATTGATTGGCTGCAGCGAGGGTGGATCGATCGGTTCGTCGGGGGGGAGGTTCTTTATAAGAAATGTGTAGCTTTCAAAATTACATCACTTTTTAAGGGGAAATATGTGATTTCTATATGATTTCTTTAAAATATTTTCAAAAATGTATTTTGTAAAATGTATTATTCTTCTAGAGAGTTTAAAAGTTTCTTACTATATTATAAGGTTATTTAGGTATAAAACTCCATTCCTTAATAAAAATTACTCTTTAACTAGTTTTCAACAGTCAAGCATTTCTAATATAAAATATATATATAGATATAGCTACACACAAAAAAAAGGCATGTCCCCATAACGTTTTTACATGAAATACTCTTTTCGAGGTCAAATTTACTGGCTACTTATCAAATTGAAACTGATCTTAAATAATGTAAAATCGACATACGTTTCATATCGATTTTTATTTGGTTGTAGTAAAACCTGTGCCAAAAACTGGAACTGGAACCCCTCGATCTCTCCTCGCTCTATACTCTATAAGGCCTGGCGTCTCTATTGTTTCAGCCGCCACTTCTTTTTTTCAGTTTTTTTACTGTTCATTAGCCGTGACGCCCACGCCAGACCTTCGTCGCGCCGCTTGGGAGCCTGGCTGATTTGGCCTTGCAGATTTCGACTGGCCGATAGCCGAATAAATAATGGAAGGAGGTAAAGCAGGCAAAGGAGGGGGTTCGCCAGAGATCTAACCACCGTATTAACTCACCGCGACGGGCCAACGCGTGAGCGGGCATGATCTGCATCTGCGTGTAGCCGCGACCCGTGCTGGTGTCCAATATGGTCATCACCTCGTCGGGACTGAAGGCGGTGTGCTCGATCATTGTGTCGTCGATGGAGAGCACCTGATCGCCGACGGATAAGGCGCCGCAACTGGAACACAAATGGAGTACGGATAGAAACGGGGTCATGAGAATGGATTTTGCGTTTTGATTTGGAAAAATCCTAAAAAATAACTTAACTTACCGATCTGCAATGCTAGCGGGCAGGATGCTGGCTATAAAGACGCCCGTCGATTCCTCGATCTTCTCCCCACTGGATGGCGTACTCGAACCGGAACCGGAAGCGGCCATCGCCGGCGTATAGTTGCAAAGTACCAGGCCCAACTTATCGTTCATCGGCCGCTCGATCTCGATGATCAGCGGTCCCATCGAGAACTCAACGCTCTGCACCACGGAAACATCGTACTCGATGGTCAGGTTGGTATACCCGGAAACATGACCGCCGCACTTGATGATCTGTTGCGCCTCTGCCAGCGTTTTGCCAATAAGTGAGACCTATAAAATGATATGTGAATTGTGAATAATATTCTTAAGAATCTATTTGAAAGCATAGCAAATTAAATACAATTTTACAGAATTTTCTCTAGGTAACAAAATATTTTTAAAGGGGATTTAAAGGGAATTAAAATTATACAAAATTCTAGAGCTTATAATTCTTTTGAAACTAAACTCAGAAACCGCTTTTACAAAAAGTTAAAAGTTTTCCAACAATATACAAATGTGTTCCTTTAAATGTAAAATTTATTTAAGAATTTAAAAATCATGTTGAACCAAAACTTTTTCGGTATTGCAAAATTCTGGAGAAATAGGGAAAAAACAACCTAAACCGGAAACGGAAGTGTCACTCCGAATTCGAAAATCACTCACATTATCGACGCGCAACAAGCGATCGCCGGGCTTGATGCGACCGGTCTTATAGACGGGTCCATGGGGCCTCACATGGGTGACGATCAGCGGATAGTCGGCCCCGCCCCTCAGCGTCAGGCCCAGGCATCCACTTTCCCGCTCCACGGTGATCTGCGCCAGCTTCGAGGTCACACAGAGGCTGTTCTGGGAAACTGCTGCGCCGCGGGAAGAGGAAACACATCGATGAGTTCAATAGAGATGACCCCAATTCTTCGGGGTAGGCGAAATCGGATAGGCGCACTTACTGTATTCGGGCAGCGAGTACTCGATCTCCACGATGGCAGGACCCGCATCCGATCCTCCAGCGCAGAGCATGTTCATCACCTTCTGGTTGCTCAAGCCAATCGTCGAGATTCCATCGATCTGATGAAGGCGATCGCCGGGCGCCAAGAAATCCGCCGCATGGCCCACGGGACTCAGAGATCCAACCACCGGCGGATAAGAAAGATCGTTGCGTTCTGGGAAATAAAATATATATTAGTAAAATGAAATCTTAGTTCTATTCTGACAAGGAATATATTAAAAATGTAAAAATCGATAAAAGAAAAATTTAAAATTTGTAAAATATTTATATTCTTTTTTGCTTTAAGATTTTTGAATAAATATTTATGTATTTTCGGAAAGAGTTACGGTTTAAAAGATGATCTAAAAAATAATTTAAGTTAAATTTGATGTATATTTTCCTAACCACTTATATTTTAGGCCATTATATTAAACAATATTTGGGTGACACTTATAAAGTTTTAAGTCAGGTTGTTTTTTGTGTTTATAAACTTATTCCCATCTTTTGGATGACTTAACCCATTTTCCTTCATATTAATAATAACTTTTAGCTATTTATATTTATTAAACAATTAAGACAACTGATAACCAAGAGAACAAACCTCTGAGAACAAACCCCCCTGACTGGTCGACACCTTTCGGAATTAATTAATGCTCCTCCCGTTGACTGAAGCTTCTGGAGATGGTATATGGCCTCATGGCCCCCTCCCTTCAATCCACATTTGGATTTCCTGTGGCGACTCTGTCAGCGACTCGTCAGCCGACACAGAGGAAAAACGCCTGAAAATCGCGGGGGGAAAACACGATACTCGTATAGCGGCGCGTAAATAAAGAAATCGGGTAAAAAAAAAGAAAAAAGGCGACGGCCAGTAGTTTGGGGCCAGCCGCAATGAGAGCGCAACTGGCAAATTGCCAAAAAATAGTAAAAAAAAAAAATACTGAAAAACTAGCCGTCGAAAAATACAAAAAAAAAAAAGAATTTGCAAGAAAATGAGGGGGAAAAACGACGCGACGCTTTATGACAACACACATTGCAGACTGGCGACCACGGAGAACATGGAGATGATGATAATTTCGGGGATTGGGATTGGGTTTAATGGAGGCGATGCTTACGTCAGAGAAAGAACCGAAGGAGTACCCGGGGTCTAAGTCTAAGGTTAACCCGCCCCCTCGAAAAGAAGCAGACGACCCTTGCCCACTTCACACACCAAATCACCAAGTCACCAAATCGCCAAATCCCCAACGCAACAGATTAGTCAAGAGTACAAAATCCGAATGGGTGGACTTTATATTCTGAATCAGATTCAGACGAAATCAGTCACAGCTACAGCACGATTCGAGTTATTAGGATTTTTTAAATATTGTTATCTAGACAAATAAAAGAGTCCCCAAAAAACAGGGTCTTGACATAAGAATCTTAAAAAGAAAACCGAAATTCATATTTAATATTTTATGTAATTATTGTGACACAAAAAAAAGTTCTTAAAAAGTAGTCCAATCATTTAACTCCAATTTATTTTCCGATTCATTTATATATATTAAATATTAATAATTAACTCACGTAATGTATTACTTTATTGATATATAAAAACAATGTGAAAAATTCATTGATTTTATTTTTTATTTATTTATTTTTTTTTTTTTTTTATTTTATTATCATTTATTTTTATTATAATATGGGGACATAAGAACGGTTAAAAAGGTTTTTAATTAAGCCTATATTTTGTATTGCCAAATAACTATAGTTTTGAATGCTACTGTGCCTACGTGTACATACTCATTATTATGTCTGGCATCGGTGCCCCGTCCCGCCCCCTCAACTTGCCCCTGGGGGTGGGTATTCTCTCTAGATTGGAACGATGATTTATTTTGGCAGCGACAACAGCAGACGGAGACACGAATACGGACGAATACGGTCGAATACGAAAACGAATACGAATACGAGTACGGAGCAACGGCATTATCGACGGACACGGAGACGGAGACGCGTTCCGCATTCAAATCGAATGATTCGGGGCCGGCCGGCCCACTTTGTCTGGCGATCGGCGGAATACAGCTATAGCTATACTGTTATATGGCAACAGACAAGAAACCACCCCGAAATGTTGGCCATGCCATCGCATCCCATTGCAAGCAATATCATAGGGCAGCCCATCGTAGACCCGACCCCATCGACAATACGATAAATCAAAGCTGAGCCCCAGAAATTGGTACAGCCATATGATATATGCGGCCATATCCGTCTATATGCTATTCGATATTTAAAGTCTAGTCTAATATTTTTTGTGATTTTTATTTTTAAAAGATTACTGTGATTCTGAATTATTTATTTCAAAATTAACACTTTTTTTACCTAAAATTATTTCACTAGTTTTGAATATTACAAATTTTACATATTTTATTTTAACAAATTACCCATTTTTAAGATATTTTATATACATTTATATTAGAAACAAAATTCAATAAAATATTAATTAATATTGCAACTCAACTTTTATCTGCCCCCTTAATAAAGAATCGGATTAGATCAGAGATTTCCATGGGTGAAGCAATCTTGATTAGCGACCCGCATAAACAGCGCTCCCAATTGATTTGATTGATTCGTGGCTCAATTTGTGTCTAATATAATTATACAATCAGTGCTGATTTCCTATGACAGCTGTCAGAAGACTTTCGGTGCTCTTCCCCCCAGGACCGCCATAAAGATATCGACTTACCCCACAGATCCCCAACCCTTTTTTCACTTTCCACTCGAGATGCATTAGTGGATACCCCCTTCTCACCTGCGAATGTGATGGCCAAATGCAGGGCATTCCGTGGCAGAGTGATGGTGGCGTAGGTGGTTCCCCTTTCCGGTGCCAATCCGGAGTCCTCCGATTGCGCCGGACTCATCGCCCGGTCCACTGAAAGGAAAAAGAAGTACAGAAAAGTTAAAGTACGGGGAAACTAAAGAGATCACACAGATCAAAGGAGCGTCGCTCGTTGACCAACTTCTTTTGCATTTTCTTAATCTATTCCGCCACACCAGACATCAAAGGAGGCACTGCCTCCTTCACGCCCACCTTCAAGATTCCCTCCCCTCAAATACCCACATATTGTATCCAATTCGATTCGGAGAATTCCCAATACAAATCGACGACCTTCGGCGTCGCCAAAAAAGCTTCAATTAAAATTCCGCCAGCGAATGAATCTCACTCGAGGAATTATAAAACCACAAAAACAGACATGTACATATAAATGTGAACTCAATTAATCTTGTACGATGCCCCCAAACATATGGCACAATAACAAAAACAGAAAAGGCCGAAGTCAAGAGTAGAAGTGGAAGCAAATCACTCTGGAAAATTGGGAAATCAAATCGAATGGCTTGATAAAAGACAAATGCCTGTGAAATGGCCAATTTTGCAATGAAGACCAAAAACTTAATCAACTTGAGCGGCCTATTTGGCCACTCGAAATATCGAAATATCGTAAAATATATGGCAAGAAAAGTACAATCAATTTTGAAATATTGAAAAATAAAATAGAGCAAGTAGTGTATTACAAATAATTTATTCTGTGTTTTTCTATTATTTATTTCAAAATAAAATAAAAATAGTTATTTATAATTAATATTTTTTTTAATTGACTCAAAGGAAAAAATATATTTTAATCAGTAAATTGTGCTTTTCCAAAATAAAAAGAGAAAAACAAATAAAATAATTGATGGTGAGAACAATGCGAGTAAAAGACTCTTTCCAGATTGTTTGCAATTAAATTACAAATGTTTTGGGTGGCAAAATAAAAAGATTATTCACTGTACCGCATACAATGTATACAATGTACCTCTCCCACCATTTCCTTCATTCAGTTTTTTGTATTTTTTCATTTTTTTCTGTGTTTTTGTGTGGCAACACTTTTTGTTTTTATTTTGGGGGACCATGCGGCGTATACGCGATCTGCTACAATTACGCCGTGTGTGCGTAACGAGTGAATTTCCCTCACGCACACATTGGCAAAAAAATTAAAACTAAAAACAAAAATCAACAAAAAAAAAATAAGAACACACGTGGCAACGTTTGACGCAAGCGGACGCGACTTTTATTTTCGAACGCTTCAATGGCGCATAAAGTTTTTCTTAATGCGCCCGCCCGACTATGAAAAGCAGCAACAATAATTAGGCAAAAGCCCCCCAAAAGAAAATGGAAAAACGGACGGAAAAACTAACAGGGGCAGTGAGCTGCTAAAAAAACGTAACGTTTCGCTTCATTTGTCCGACACACACACGAAATTTTCACATATATAGAGAGCTGATTCGCTATAATTTATTTTCATTTAATTTGTTTTCTTCGGTTTCGGCTTTGCTTCTTCTTCTTCGGCGAAGGAAAGGTGTGCCAATTTGGTTCAGTTGCACCTTTGGGCACACTGAAAACAATTTTAGTTTACCTTTTTTACTTTCACTTTTTCCTTCTTAAAATAAAAATGTATTTTAATTATGGTCATAGTTATTTCTTGAATGTATTAATATTAATGTTTATTAATAAACTATTTGTGAATTCCACAAAATAATTGCTTATCTACGTATACTTAATTTTACACCATAGTCAATATACATTTTATCAAAATAAAGGAAAACTATAAAAAAGGGGTACATTTTTGTTCAATTCAAAAAAACCTTAATAAATATTTTTATTATTTACTATTGGTTTTTATTTTTGGAACAATCAAAACAACAAATTTGGCCAAGCAAACATTTATCTTCTTATATCAGGTGTAAAATTTTACCTATTTTCTGCCTATCTCTCACCTTTTCCCTCCCTCCCCCTTCGTTCTCCTTTATTCTTTCTTTCCGTCTCCACTTTGATTCGCATTCGCTTTGAAGTGTTCACATTTCTCTCTGCGGCTTGTGTGTGTTTTTTGGATGCGCTTTTCATTTGCTATTTTTACATGCGCGCTTTTCATTTTCATTTTGATTTCCACTGGCAGGCAAAGGCGCTATTAGTTTTTTTCGATTTGTTGTTTTTTATTTTTCGGCTAGTTTGATTTTTCTTCGGTGCTTTTCTTATTATTTTTTTTTTTTGTGCTTTTTTTTGACATAATTCATTGGAGCCGCTGGGGCCGGCGAGCGGAAATTATATGTACGCCCGGTTTCATAAATAAATGTAATCAGAATTAAGCGAAAAGCGGGAAAAACAAGGCGAACACGAGATGCCCTGGAAGTGCTCGACATTTTCCCCCCTCGCTCGAGAAAATGGGGGGAAAAACAAGTCGAAATGAGCCAAGCGCTAAATGAAATCGAAAAGAGCCCATAAAATAGCCAACTAATGTGATGGAGTGCGTATGGATTTATGAAATACTATATACGCATATACATGTGCTGGAAACATATGGAGGTATGTACATATATACATATGTTCCGACTTGATTCCGGAACTGATTTACACATTCCCCAAATTCAGTTTTGAACGATGGCAAGTGGGAGGAAAGCTTTGGATTAGTGGGAATTTATTTACCAGTGGGAAAATGATCGATAAATAACCAACCCACCGATTATACCTGGTGCAGTTATCGATAATAAACGATATTTAGAAAATAGCATCTCTGTTCCTGTGATCATTAAATTCTTCCTATATATCTTTCAATATCCAGCTTCCTGCGATAATTGACTTATAAATATAATTACTCTACTTTATGGTTCCGCAGCTATTAAGTATTTCCGGGAAGAAGCCGACGCTTGGAAAGTGTCATAATATTAGGCCCAAATTAACTTATGGACGTCGTCTAATTCGCATTGCCATTTGCAGTTCCGTTCTGGAGAAGATGAAATGGATTTGGAACTCTGGGATCTCCAGATCGGTGGGGCAGTTAAAGTTATTTTTGCATTTTGCCCGCTTGTCGTGCATTCGTTTTTATGGCCACTCGCGGAAAAGTTGCAGGGAAAATTTATCGGCGACAGTTGCCAATTCCTTCTCTAGCGGAAATTGCGCTCATCCGAAAAGATTTCGGCGGGTGGGGGAGTGAAGTGGCAGTGCCACCCATTATATAGAGTACTTCCTGAACTCATCCTGGCAATTAGACATATCGCAGATAGTGTGCTCCGTGATTGAAATAGACCCCAGGCGATGATCCATTCGGGGTTGGGTTGGAAAATTGCACAAGTGCCGATCTAGACAGACAGCTCCTCCGTCGCTGGGGGTCGTCAACGTCAGAGTTTCCCAGCTTTGTACTCATCGCATACCCCTGCTCCCCAGCTCCCCAACTCCTCGATTTCACTTATGCCCTTTGTAGATAATGTTGTCTTCTGGAATGGTTCATTTGCCGCATGGAATTCCTCGGCGATTTGCCACATTTACTTGCAAAATAGACATCATTCAAGGGAAATCTGCCCAACGCGATCTGTTCATTATAAAGGCGCAAAAGGGGGCGAACTGGCATTCCCATCTTCTCTAAGAATGCGAGATCAAGAGGCTCTTCAGGCACTCCTTAAACTATCTGTCAATCAATAATGCTTATAAACATTTCCGAATGTTAAACTACAAAGGTTTAAAACTACTATTTCAATGCATTTAGAGTTACTAACTGGAGTATATAATATTATATTATTATATTTAGTACCTATCCTTATAAAAGAGTTTTTGGTATAAACTGTAGTCCCTACAAAGTAGATCTTAGATCCGATCGTTCGATTTGATTGAGTTGTTCCTGCAGATATATATCCAATTGACAGGTGCTGGAAGATCCATTTGATGTGGATGTAGGCCAAACAGCCAACTAATTGACTGATTGAGTGTGTGAATGTCCAACTGACTGACTGCGCGATGAGTATTGATTGATTGACATGCCAATCTATTGGCAACTTGACGCTCTGTTATTGTTTGCATTTAGCGGCGCTTTTCTCCACGCAATTTCCAGTTTATTTTTCTGGCCACAAGAAAGGGAATGGGTATTTTGGCTGAGAGCGTGTGTTCCAAAGGGGGACACTCGGCCACCAGGGGGTTAAGGGGTACGAGTCAGGGGTAAGGGGTTAAGGGGACCGGGAACAGAACCTGAAACTGCGTAGTTTTTACGTTCGAGTAAGTGCCCATGTATCCATTAACCCACAAAACGCTGACTTTGTCTGCACTACAAAAAATATTGCCTAAAAATAAATACATTTCTTAATATATGTAATTTTAGAATTTTTAATATATTTTCGTTATTTAAATTTAAGAAATTTTAAAGAAATTATTTTTAATAAAGTTTTAGAACTCTAGGTAAATAAATATAGGATTTCCTTAATTTTTATTTTCTTTTTAACTTTTGTTCTTATTTATAAAAATTGAAAGAACTCAGCTAAGGATTGTATCAATTTTAGGACTATTAAAATTTGTTCAGTTTTTCTCTGGCCTTCTGAATTTCAGCTTTATTTTTTTGTCCAAGTGCTGGAGACTTATTTATTAATGGACACGCAGAACAGGGCGTGAAAATGCGAGTATGTCAGAAATTTCACAATGGAATCTATTTAGCACAAGGCTCCATTCGACGCCCCCATCCTTTATTTTCCTCCCTTTTTCCCTTCGTTCGAAGACAACAAGAAAAACCAATTATTGCAAATGAACTCGAGTGTGGTTCCGCAAAAATGTCAACATCTGATAAAGCCGCAACAAAAGCGAATATCCGAGGACAGCCCTCCATGGGCGGCGGTGGCATAGGGGGTTTTTTTGCCAGGGGGGTCAGGCCCTGCAGCCAAAGTGCAACAGCCGCAACGAACTCAACTTAAATGAACCGAACTTGGCAAAAAAAAGGGCGACCCTTGCCTGCGAAGCAACCGCGAAAAAAACGAAAAGAAAAGTAAAGGAAAAACTCAAGGGAAAGAGGGGAAAAACGCAGCCACTCCATTGAGATCCTCGGGTATTTAGCAAAACGTTGACATTCATTTGATGAC